TGCCCTGCCCTGCCCGCCCCGCCGGGCCCGGAGCCACTCCAGCGCCATCCCACCGGCCCCGGCACCGGGCGGCTCCCGGGGAGCCCCTGCCCGCCGGGTCCCTGTTGGTCCTGGCAGGAGCCAAGGGCGGTAGCCCGGCACTGACCCCTTTGTTCGAGGGAGGCTGCAGGGTAGGGTGTGCGAAAAAATCCCAGTGAGGGTGTGGAAGAAGGAGAGGGAGAACAATCTTGGGGGTCGGGTTGCTGAAAGCATCCAGACCTTAACGCTCCTTGGGGTTGGTTTTTATTGGTTTGGGGGTTTGGGGGGCTTTGTTTTTTGGGGGGTTTTTTGTGTTTTTTTTTTTTTTTTAAGAGGAAAGATGCCGGACCTGCATTTGACGCATTCCAATTCAAGTTTTCACAATCATTCACCATTAATGTCGTGCACGCGCAAATCCCACCAAAAAAAGGACGAAGTGCTCCCAACATAATTAGTGTCCTCCCCAGAAAGCAAATTTGTTTAAATTTTCATTCGTACAGATTCCTGTTGCCACTCCTCATCTCACTGCACGAAGTTACACCAAACCCTGCTGGCACCGGCTGAAGCCGATGCATTACACCAAGGCATTTGTCTGAATGCTGATGTTCCGCTCCCAAGGAACAATTGGCGAGGATTGAAAGCGTTCTAACCCGGCTGTGGCACCCTCGGGAACAAGGCATGAGACAGCTGTAGATGCAAATAGAGGAGGGAGGCGAGGGCTGTGGGAGCCTGGCCAGCCCTGCAGTGCCGAGCACGCCGTCCCCTCCCCACTGCAGCACTCCGGTAATCACTATTGATAATTTGTAGTCGGTCGGGGACTTAGCGCTGCAGAAGGGCCTGCTAGGAATTCTGTCACAAGGGAAGGAAGGGCTCCTCAGCCCGGCGTTAATGATCGCTCAGCACACCAATATAAAGATTTCTGCGGCAAGAGTGATGCCAGGAATCATTAGGTTTACCCAGAGACAGAGGGACTGTGTGGCGCTAGTTTGTCTGTTAATCCCTGGTTAACGAGCCACCTATACCAGCAATAAAAAGCCATGCAGTCACCTAGCTCCAGTTTCCAAAAATACTAATTATAACAACATTCAATTAGAAAATTAAAGTCACTTTATTAAAAGCATCTTCCATCTTTAAACTCACAAATCTTAAAGGATTATCCTCACCATTTCTTTAAATTCTATTCTTCCTTGTTGTAGTTATAAATAGACAAAATTTGTATCTAGACAGCCTATTAGAATAAACCACTTTATTTCAAAAGTTACAACAAAGCAACAAATTTTATTTTCATGTGGAAAAATAGATGCATTCTCAGTAATGCACATTTTCACATTTAGCCCTAAATGAGCTACATTTGTTCTGTACTCAAACTTTACCCAGCAGAACACTGAAAGAACTACAGAGTGCCTTATTTTTTTCCCCTGTTGAGCAGCAGATTTTGCAAAGTGGCAATAAAGGCTAGGTCCTGCTACCACTGGAGCCAGCAAAACATTACTAATCAGCTTAACCCAGCCCACTATTATATTTCTGGCCCAGGTCCAGCAGGGCACTTAATCAGGTGTCTGAGCATGTGAATAGTCCTAGTGGCTTTTGACAGAACTCTTCACATAACTCAGGTTAGGCAGATGGTAATAACCTTGAACAAGCCTTTATTTATATTCTGCCACAGAAAGCAAAATTAAGCCTAATTTTCTATTAGACTATGTAAAACAAAAGGTTTTCAGGGAAAGCTCCTTTTACTTACATAGGAATTTCAACAGCTGCAAGAACTTCTGGAGATCATTACACTCTGAATGCCTGCAAGATTATTCTTTCTGTTATTTTGCATAGTATATGAATGATGGCTGCCACACAAGCATCTTTGTTTGGGTTTTTTTTAAAGTGTGTCTTTTTTTGAAATTCCATATAACATGACTGTACAGAAATTCTGGGGGCATTTAAATTTCATCCTGCCCCTGACACCCTCTTCCACATGAAATATGTATTGGATAGAGGTACTCCTTCATGCCTTAAACTCCCAAGCAAACAGGACGTGTGTTACATAAATCAGGGCCTTTGCAGGTAGGGTCACTACAGGCAGGGTCACTACTGATTGGTCAATCAGACCACGTATCTGGTTTGATAAACTTACTCAGTGTAAGGTACATAGATGGCAGAGTGAAGGTGGAGTCTGTGATGCCCCTGGAATTAAAAAAGTGTTTAAAACCATTATTTCATGTTTTCATTTTGGTGTTTTATTTAATGAATATTTATTATTTGAACGTCTTCAGACAACCATCATACAGAAAATCTCAGTCCCAATTATGGTTCTGGGGTTTTTTGTAGAAAGTTGTTAAACAGAAATACATGGGGTATGTGCTAATAATGTGTTTTAATGTCAACTCCTTTTGAGATAGTCAGGAACACTGTAAGATTATAAATGGGTGGGATTATGAGGATGCAGGAATCCAGGCAGCTCGATACTCCCTCTTTCACAAACCTGAGTAAGACTGACTAAACTATTGTAGAAGTGCTTCAGAGTTGCTCTTCTACTTTGTCATTCACATTTTGGTTATAAGCTCACACCTCAAACTTAGCTTGATTGGACCACTGCTAAGCTTTTCTATTAACTGAGTAGTACATTATTGTTTTATCTGGTATGTAAAATACATTTGAAGTCAAAAATAAGTGTATGGTTGTTGAGTTTAATCGGTTCCATTTTTTAAATAAGTAGCCCTTTTTTAGTGCAAAGGGATGAGAATTCTGCCTCTGATCTGCCAAGACACTTGAACAATTGCTTGATTGTCAACAATTGCACATGAGTAGTCATCTGAATATCAGTGGCAATGACAAGCTTAAGTTAAACAACATATGGCTAAGTGCCAGGCTGAATTTGGACTGAACATGGTTCTTTCCATATTATTCAGTTTTTAGCTGAAGCTTTTAACCTTCCCCTTTTATAAATAAATGAATGCACGTCAGCTCTGAATTATTTCCAACTGTCAGAAAATTACATGTCTGCAAATAGGAAATTACTTTAAGAGAAGAATGAATATAGGCAAGAATCAGAAAGCTATTTATTGTATCATAATGTTGGCAGAAATGTGATTTGACTGAGAAACCACTATTACAAATTTTTTTAAGAACTAGGAGAAGAAATCACAGAATATGCTGAGTTGGAAGAGACCCATTAGGTTCACTGAGTCCAGCACCTGGCCCTGCACATCCCCAAGAGTCACACCATGTGTCTGAGAGCATTGTCCAAACATTTCTTGAGCTCTGCCAGGCTGGTGCTGTGACCACTTCCCTGGGGAGCCCTTTCCAGTGCCCAAACACCCTCTGGATGAAAAATCCTTTTCCTAATATCATTTTGATGTGATGAGGAAACTGAAGTGATAACATTTCAGTTAGTTGGGTTTTTTTTCTGAGAACTTTTATTATTAAGCTAGTATAAAAATGTTTGTAAGTAAAATTCACTAAAGAATTGAGGTTAACACCTATTCGCATTATTTTCTTGGTTTTTAAAGACTAGATTTCTCTTTCTGCTATTGAGAATTAAGGCAGGAATAATTTTAAAAACAGTCCATATGGCTAAGGATTTATATTGCCTCATAGCAGTTCTTTATTTAGCCTGTGAGGTGTACAGACAGGAGTGATAAAACGTCATCTCTTCTGTTTTCTCGTGGAAGATATCCAATTACACATTGAGGAAATAAAAATAAAATTCAGCAGCTTGAACACTTCCAAAATGTTCTCTCACCTCCACCTCCATTACCATCACCTCTTTGTCCCAATGTAAGCTCCAGTCAGACTAAAAACTTCCCTATTTAATAATGTATTCCTGTAATTCATGCACATAGATTTTGTGAATTTGAATTTTCTTTAATTTATTATTTAAGACTGGAATTCTTTTAACTATTTTTATTGGCATTTGTCCTACAATAGTACATTTCTCTA